CTGCTTCTCGATGAGACGAATACAGTGGTGGCCGAAATTTTCAAATCGGACCATAAACAAAGATTCTACAGGGTACGGGGACTAAAATTAACGTTTAAAGTGACCTTGACCTTGACCTATGACCTTGACCTCGGATTTTTTCGAATGTGCTACTGCTTCTCGATGAGGCGAACACAGTGGTGGCCGAAATTTTCCGATAGCTCCAAAAATAAAGATTTTATAGGGTACGGCGATTTTTAAAGTGACCTTGACCTTGACCTATGACCTTGACCTCGGATTTTTTTGAATGTGCTACTGCTTCTCGATGAGACGAACACACTGGTGGTCGAATTTTTCAAATCGGACCATAAACAAAGATTCTACAGGGTACGGGGACTAAAATTAACGTTTAAAGTGACCTTGACCTTGACCTATGACCTTGACCTCGGATTTTTTCGAATGTGCTACTGCTTCTCGATGAGGCGAACACAGTGGTGGCCGAAATTTTCCGATAGCTCCAAAAATGAAGATTTTATAGGGTACGGCGATTTTTAAAATGACCTTGACCTTGACCTATGACCTTGACCTCGGATTTTTTGAATGTGCTACTGCTTCTCGATGAGACGAACACACTGGTGGTCGAATTTTTTCAAATCGGACCATAAACAAAGATTCTACAGGGTACGCAGTATTTTGACCTCTCAAGGTCAAACGGTTTGACCTTGGAAAAAAAGGTCACCATTTTCGAACTCAGCGTGCCATGGGCTATCTGTATGCCAATTTTGAGCGAAATCATTACTCGAATTTGAATCCGAATTTTAACGTTTAAAATGACCTTGACCTTGACCTATGACCTTGACCTCGGATTTTTTCAAATGTGCTACTGCTTCTCGATGAGACGAACACAGTGGTGGCCGAAAATTTCAAATCGGACGATAAACAAAGATTCTACAGGGTACGGGGTATAAAATTAACGTTTAAAGTGACCTTGACCTTGACCTATGACCTTGACCTCGGATTTTTTCGAATGTGCTACTGCTTCTCGATGAGACGAACACAGTGGTGGCCAACATTTTCAAATCGGACCATAAACAAAGATTCTACAGGGTACGGGGACTAAAATTAACGTTTAAAGTGTTCTTGACCTTGACCTTTGACCTTGACCTCGGATTTTTTCGAATGTGCTACTGCTTCTCGATGAGATGAACACAGTGGTGGCCGAAATTTTCAAATCGGACCATAAACAAAGATTCTACAGGGTACGGGGACTAAAATTAACGTTTAAAGTGACCTTGACCTTGACCTATGACCTTGACCTCGGATTTTTTTCAAATGTGCTACTGCTTCTCGATGAGACGAACACAGTGGTGGCCGAAATTTTCAAATCGGACCATAAACAAAGATTCTACAGGGTACGGGGACTAAAATTAACGTTTAAAGTGACCTTGACCTTGACCTATGACCTTGACCTCGGATTTTTTTGAATGTGCTACTGCTTCTCGATGAGACGAACACAGTGGTGGCCGAAATTTTCAAATCGGACCATAAACAAAGATTCTACAGGGTACGGGGACTAAAATTAACGTTTAAAGTGACCTTGACCTTGACCTATGACCTTGACCTCGGATTTTTTCGAATGTGCTACTGCTTCTCGATGAGGCGAACACAGTGGTGGCCGAAATTTTCCGATAGCTCCAAAAATAAAGATTTTATAGGGTACGGCGATTTTTAAAGTGACCTTGACCTTGACCTATGACCTTGACCTCGGATTATTTTGAATGTGCTACTGCTTCTCGATGAGACGAACACACTGGTGGTCGAATTTTTCAAATCGGACCATAAACAAAGATTCTACAGGGTACGCAGTATTTTGACCTCTCAAGGTCAAACGGTTTGACCTAGGAAAAAAAGGTCACCATTTTCGAACTCAGTGTGCCATGGGCTATCTGTATGCCAATTTTGAGCGAAATCATTACTCGAATTTGAATCCGAATTTTAACGTTTAAAGTGACCTTGACCTTGACCTATGACCTTGACCTCGGATTTTTTCGAATGTGCTACTGCTTCTCGATGAGACGAACACAGTGGTGGCCGAAATTTTCAAATCGGACCATAAACAAAGATTCTACAGGGTACGGGGACTAAAATTAACGTTTAAAGTGACCTTGACCTTGACCTATGACCTTGACCTCGGATTTTTTCGAATGTGCTACTGCTTCTCGATGAGACGAACATAGTGGTGGCCGAAATTTTCAAATCGGACCATAAACAAAGATTCTACAGGGTACGGGGACTAAAATTAACGTTTAAAGTGACCTTGACCTTGACCTATGACGTTGACCTCGGATTTTTTCGAATGTGCTACTGCTTCTCGATGTGACGAACACAGTGGTGGCCGAAATTTTCAAATCGGACGATAAACAAAGATTCTACAGGGTACGGGGTCTAAAATTAACGTTTAAAGTGACCTTGACCTTGACCTATGACCTTGACCTCGGATTTTTTTCGAATGTGCTACTGCTTCTCGATGAGACGAATACAGTGGTGGCCGAAATTTTCAAATCGGACCATAAACAAAGATTCTACATGGTACGGGGACTAAAATTAACGTTTAAAGTGACCTTGACCTTGACCTATGACCTTGACCTCGGATTTTTTCAAATGTGCTACTGCTTCTCGATGAGACGAACATAGTGCTGGCCGAAATTTTCAAATCGGACCATAAACAAAGATTCTACAGGGTACAGGGACTAAAATTAACGTTTAAAGTGACCTTGACCTTGACCTATGACCTTGACCTCGGATTTTTTCGAATGTGCTGCTGCTTCTCGATGAGACGAACACAGTGGTGGCCGAAATTTTCAAATCGGACCATAAACAAAGATTCTACAGGGTACGGGGACTAAAATTAACGTTTAAAGTGACCTTGACCTTGACTTATGACCTTGACCTCGGATGTTTTCGACTGTGCTACTGCTTCTCGACGAGACGAACACAGTGGTGGCCGAAATTTTCAAATCGGACCATAAACAAAGATTCTACAGGGTACGGGGACTAAAATTAACGTTTAAAGTGACCTTGACCTTGACCTATGACCTTGACCTCGGATTTTTTCGATTGTGCTACTGCTTCTCGATGAGACGAACACAGTGGTGGCCGAAATTTTCAAATCGGACCATAAACAAAGATTCTACAGGGTACGGGGACTAAAATTAACATTTAAAGTGACCTTGACCTTGACCTATGACCTTGACCTCGGATTTTTTCGAATGTGCTACTGCTTCTCGATGAGGCAAACACAGTGGTGGCCGAAATTTTCCGATAGCTCCAAAAATGAAGATTTTATAGGGTACGGCGATTTTTAAAGTGACCTTGACCTTGACCTATGACCTTGACCTCGGATTTTTTTTGAATGTGCTACTGCTTGTCGATGAGACGAACACACTGGTGGTCGAATTTTTCAAATCGGACCATAAACAAAGATTCTACAGGGTACGCAGTATTTTGACCTCTCAAGGTCAAACGGTTTGACCTAGGAAAAAAAGGTCACCATTTTCGAACTCAGCGTGCCATGGGCTATCTGTATGCCAATTTTGAGCGAAATCATTACTCAAATTTGAATCCGAATACGAATACGACGCTAACTTTATGGACATCATGACTGGCTTTGTCTATGATAACATGTTTATTTTCGAAATTTATCTTTGATCTAGGTGTAAACCAAACCTGCTCAGTACCTATTATCTCATGGAAAACAGTGGTTTAGTGGCCTTGCTCTCGGTTGGGGGTAAGCTTGGCCACTCGCCCGGGGTTACCCCAATGTGCTAATTTTTATTTTAGAACAGCGATATTCGAAAAAAATGTCATACTTAAGCCAGTCTGCCTCGTCACCCCTCACTACAAGTACAAACACTTAAACGGTCCTTACATAACATTCGTATAAATATTAGTACTGTATGGTATAACATTAACAGTGCAACATATCTCACTTTTTAGCTAAAAACCCTTAAAATATCATTTTTGCGCTATAACTTTAACAATATGCAAATTTTGTTAGCCTTAACTTTTTTGCTGGCGTTACCTTAGCTGCCACGCTGAAAGGACAAACAGTTGAGCATTTTATTGTGAATAATTTAGCCGGAAACGGGGTGGCCGGGCTTCCCCCGCGCCCGGGCTTCCCCCGGCTTCCCCTAAATAGCGAGACGAAAACGGCGCTTTTGTTTCAGTTATTTTTGTAGGGGTTTCAGATATTTATAGAGTTCAGTGGGTTGTTTCTGAGGAGATGTGGAGATGTGAATTATTAATTAATCACACTTTATTAGTATATAGGGCCTTGCACTTTATCATCTGGATTAGAAAAAAACGTTTCCTGCTGAGTGCAGAAAGGTAGGTAGGTGCATCGCCAGGTTCTATCACCAGGATTGGTGCAGTTTTTGCAGTTGAAAGTCAAAGTTGGCTGTTCATGTTTAGGCCCTGTTCTTTATTTGGCCATCTACCCCATATTGCAGTTGTGATGACAAGCAGTTTTCAGTGTAGTTTTGTGATCTTTGATGTCATCAATTGGTGTCATTATTTTTCGTCAACTAAAAGTTATTTGAACTCTCCTTTCAATCGACTCAATCATACGAGTCACTCTAATTTTCAGGAATCAAATCAGTCAACCAGTCGCTAAAGTCAAACGAGTCAGTCAACCAGTCATCTCGAAAAGTCAATCGACTCAATCCAATCAACTCAAAATACGCGTTGAAACAAATCAATCAATTCAATCGACTTGATTGGTATACAACCCTGGTGGGAGGGTCCCTTTAAAGTCAACCGTATACGTTACAGAGAACTGAGGAGCACACGCATGTTTGACTATATAGCTTGAATAAACAATTTTTTTTTGTCAATTTCGGGTTACCAAGCCCACCTTTACCGACCCCTGCGTGACCCACGGCGGCTGACCCACGGTGACCTACCGAGTTTGGCGGCGACACACGGCGACCTACCGAGTTTGGCGGCGACACACGGCGACCTACCGAGTTTGGCGAGGCCAGCGATAACGATGAACAGGGTGATGGCGTAGTAGGGCCGCACCTCGTCCCAGCGCCACGAGGCCACGTGGATACCGTGGCTCTCGTGCAGCGGCGCCCGCTCCACGCAGTACGTGTACTGGCCGTCGTGCGCCACGTGAGGGTGGTGTGACCTGAGGCAGGGTCGGGTCAGGTCAGTGATCTGTGGCGAGATCAGATGTTTGGGAACGACAGGGTCACGTCAATGACCTGCAATGGGGTCAGATTCTTGACTTTTACCGGTATTTCATGTAAAACTCATCGGCTGCCGGAGTCAGATATGTCATACATGTATGATTCTCATTTTCTTGTTTCTTGTTTCCTGTTTCCGTGCTGATTTTATAGAAGAATGTTGTGTCTTTTTAGGTCATTTTTTATAATGGACGAAGCAACACTCATATGGGTCGCGTTCTTGTGGCTACCAAAGAAGTGCCAAAACAAGCGCAGGTGGTTTAAACGCGACAAGGTCCGCCACCAGACCAGACCACAGATGGCGTCCATTGACGGTCCGGCTCGGGTCAGGGTGATACAACCAGCTCCGTTTCAGCCCTGTGGCTTATCCAGCCGAGCGGAACGTCTGCCTCCCACCCTCCTACGACCGTGATGGCCGCGCTAACGAGCGCTTCCGTCGGCGCAACTTCTCAGAGCCGGCCGACACCAGTACGGCTGAGAGGGCCCGCTCGGCAGGTATATCTGCCGTCCGTCAGCGCGTATTGAGGGAGCGCCGGGAACGTCGGCGAACAAACATAGGATTATCGATTAAACACTAGATGATACCGGATAGAACTGCAAGTTTTGACGGAATTTATCCTCGACAGAACTAAACATTACTTCAACGCTGATTCCTTTGTTTCACCCAATCAAATTGTTTGAGTGCGCGAATGGGTCCGTACACGTGCCAACTAACCACCATCACGTGACAAAATGGTCGCGCCTTCGTTTCGCTTGATCAGTTTTCAGCCCTAATTGTTCGACCCTGTCCAACCCTGCCCAACGCCAACCCCTGACTGTCCCTATCCCGAGGCTGTCCCGACTACCTGACCCTGCCCGACCTTTCCAGTCCTGGCCAACACTGTCCAAACCTCCCAAGTCCCAAATCCTGTCCCAACCCTTTCCCACCCTGCCAAAACCTGCCCGACCTTTCCCGCTCTTCCTCACCCAGCGCATCCCTAGCCACACCTGCCCGACCCATGCCCGACCCGTTCCGACCTTGCCCGACCGTTCCTGATCCTGTCCCACTCCTCCCGATCCTTCCCCACTCCTTACGTCCGTCCCCACCATTCCCCTTCTCGACGGTCTCAGCCTCACTTGTGGTGGTGGTCCTCGGTGATGGTAATGCCGCCGCCGGTGTCGTTGGACTCGCTGCCGTGCTCCAGAGCCTCCTCCGAGCCGTGGTAGGTCACGTGCTCAGACGACGGGTCTGCCGGAATAGACACGGCTGTCAAATTATTCAATATACATATGGGTCGGTGGTGGGAGGCATGTCGGTAGGTCATCAGTCATCACTTCGCTAGTTAGGGTTTATTGGTTAGGAGCTGCGACCGTGAGAGTTCCTCTACCTGTTTTATCATTCAGTCACGCATACATGAATCGATGCTCCAAAGTGATTGTCGAAGACTTTGAGTCCCATCAAACGAACATCTTTTTGTAATTTCGTATAGTTAGCCACATGAGCGGAGTGTTAATAAAACGTTAATCTATCACTTTTTTGTCATCTACAAGAACGTAAATGAAGTACCCGTCTGATAACCTTGAAGATAATTCTCAAGCAGTAAGTTCCTCTTCCTTTCCCATTTCCATTACCTATTTCTGTCGCCATCACTCAGTGTCTCGTGTTGAACCACCCCTCCCAGCCGTCTGTACGCGTCTGGTGTCAGGCGGGGCAGGTTTGTGTGTTTACCGGTCGCAGCACAGTATCTCACGGAGGGACAATCACCCCAGGTTACAGCCTACCGTCACCTCGCACGGCCTGATGGACGGATGGTGTGCGCTGGGGTGGCTTATCGCGCTGACACGTATCACTTCAGAGACAAATGGGCCGGGCGGGTGATACCGCGTCCCGCGACCGGTGAGGGTGGATGTGGGGGTGGGGGTGCGTTCGATGACCCGTGAGGAGGCGGGGGAGGAGAAAAAGGTGGCGGATGGGAACAGGCCACTTTCATCCGATCCCGGGGACGGGAATCTCAATGGGTGCGTTACCTACCATCCGTCTTGTGGAGGAACATCGATGGTTGATTAATTACGGAAACTGAAAAACCTCTAATGATTTACATACGGCATCTACATGCCTTACAATAAAATAATAAAACTACACCCCTCGCGCTAGTAAAACTAATACATTTTACCATGTGGGCCGGTTTGAATGTAAAACCTCTAAACAGTCATACAACAATAAGCACACCAGCTGTTCAGAGCAAGAATGCAGCGTAACACCATTCAGCCATATCTGATTGCCGTTCGTACAATAAAGGAATTGGGGCGTGGCAGTCAAAACAGAACCGCAAACCAATAATCGGCCTGTGATTGTCGTACGGAGAGCCGTTTCCCGAGGTCGGGTGTGTAAGCAATGGTGCCGTCGGGTGACAGTCGAGCGGCTTCAGATACATTCTTACAAGTCTTGAGCTCCGCTTTGGGCAGGAGCGCCTCCCTGAAGGGACGCTAGCCCCCATTTGATTCGGGACGTTAAACCCTCTGATCAGCTCCCGCTCCGCTCCTTCCGTCTGGCTCCGACGGCTGCCGCGGCTCCGTCCGTCCGCCCATGGCACAGTGCACAATGCATGATACACAGTGCACAGTGTGCCGCACACTCCACCGCTTTGGCACACTCCCAGGGATAACCGTATCTCCGCGCGGGCAGTCTGTATGAGAGAGAGACCGGAACAGACGCACAGGCAGCTGGGAGACCGGAACAGGAAACATGGGTGGTCCCCTCAAGGGGGGGGGGGCAGGCTGCGGTCCGCTAGGCACAGCCAGCGTTGAGCAATAGTGACTGAAGGCCTTGGTAGGCAGTGGAGGATGGAAGTTGGATCTGCGGGCGCCCAATGGGAGACGGTACAAGTCCGTTAGAGCTATACAGGCAGGACCACCACAATCTGACTTTGAATCGCTGGATTAGCAGATTTCGAAGCGGGAATGCATTAGCAATATTGAATTGAAGATATTAAACAATATTTTATTTCTGTAGCTACAATGAACAATTATGCTTCTTGCTAGCTTCTTCAAATGTCCGTTACGTGACGTAATATTCTATTTGTTACGCGCTTAACCCTATTAGTGGCAGGGGGGGGGGGGTTGTTTTTATCCACCCCTCAGGTTTTTCGGGAATATCTCCGAAACCGCTGAAGCTACGATGCTGAAATTTTCTGACTTTTCCTAAAACTAAATTGGGCACATTCCCTGAAAATTTCAAGTTCATAACTTTACCAGGGGCGGCTCCAGAGCACTGGGAATTGGGGGGTCCTATTCGTGAAGCGAGTCATTTGGGCGAAGATCACGATGCTGCACCAGTTTTACGAACAGTGAATGAAAGGTATCATGTGATAACATATACAGTTATTGTGCTTTTGACACGTTTTTGCTATAATAGGCGGATCCAGGCGTCCAAAAAGGGGGGTTATGTTTTACCTCCCAACATAGGTGCCCTGACACCGCCTATGCATGACCAATACAATTGTAGTCGTTCTCTCATAAGAAAATTGTAACATAACAAGACCATTACCACCATTTTTAGAAACAGTACCAACAAAAACCTTATTTACTATACTTTTTGTGTACCCCCAATCTCAATGATCTGTATCCGCCTATGATTTTTGAAAATGCATATTTTTGGGATCCATGTGAATTCCTGGTTCATTCTCTATCGATCGGCAAAAGTTGCGTTAAGATTGGTTCAGAAACCTGGCCGTGATAAACAGTCTAAAATGTATCTGTAATTTGCCCGTTTTTACCCCCCTCTACCCCCCCTATTGACATTTTTTAATTTTTATTTTTCAGAAATGTAGATCACGTTGAGCGAAATCGAATGCCGTTTGAATTTTGAAAATCGGCCCGTTAGATCTCGAGATATCAAGGGGGGGTCGTAAACAGCCCCCCCTGCCACTAATAGGGGGTAGCCAGGAGCCTGCCACTAATAGGGTTAAAAATACAATTTTTATTCCATTGATAAATTCTTGAACCGAAAAAACACGATAGTTTACGAGTTTCCATGTCATTTATCACAGGGACGACCAATCGTTTGACATGCATCAATGAACTATGCCACGTGTCATTGTTTATAACCGTCGATGATTGTTTTTTTTTCGGTGGTTTGTGTACAGGCCGCAGACAGGTGGGACCGGGTATAAGAAAGACCGGGTCCGACCTCACGGGGTCAGGTCAAAACGCCTGCCTTCAGTAACGACCGAGGCAGGCACTGAGGCAGAACGAATGGCCCCGCAAACGACCTCAGAGTAGAGAACAGACTGCCAGGGCTGCATGCACATTTAACATATGGGGAAAACAGGAATTGGTGTTTGTTATGCAGTTGATCCTTGGAATACGTTTCCGGCGATGCTTTAAAATCATTAACTCATGCAGTGAACTTACTCATTCCGGAGAACACTTTGGATATAATACTCAAAATGTTTGACGTAAAAAGTTTCTTAAACAAAGCTTGGTTTATAATGTGATTAGTGAACAAGAAGCTTTGCCACTAATAACGTCTTCAAGCCATCAGTGCGTCTTTCTACACACTCCCGAAAGTGTCATTATTTAGGGCGGAAATCGGGAGCGACGTCTAATGGTGTTTGATGACCTAATCGAATGAGTCAGGGTGACTGCGTAGCGTCTAACGTGCCATTAATTCTAGCCACGAGCCATTTCCCAAGTGACAGTTTGCGGCCGGTAGCTGAGGAGACGGCCTCTCCGCTCTCTCACGGTCATCGGAGACCCAGTGTGCATGTGTGTGTGTGCGGGGGGGGGGGCGTGTCTGCCACCTGTTGAACACGCCGGGACCCACCCAGGGCCGGGTGACCACCCATCCATGACGTCACGAAGAGGGGGGGGGGGGAGGGGCGCCGCGTCCGGCGACCCTGCGCCAGTTTTGCCGCCGCCGTCACAGTCGTGTTCCCAGCGGCCGGGAGACGGCTCCCGAGACGGTCACGTGACAGCGGTGTGAGGTCACGTGACGTGACGGCGGTGTGGGCTACCGGCTGCGATGACGTCATGTGCGTGAAGCCATGAAGTGTGGCGACACGCACAGCTGTTGTGGAGGACAAATAGACACGGCTGGGAGGCGCCCCGGCGTCAGTGGCAGTTCTCAGAGGCCTTGGTGCGCGTGATGACTGATGACTGACTGAAATGGTGAAACATATGGGCTCCAGGCTGTTGACGCTTTTGCTTTTGACCGAACCAGCACCGCAGCGCCAATATTTTGATTGAGGCTTGGGCGCCGTCGGAAAAATGCATGATTACGATAGTGACGAGTCATAATTGGTAAATAGCAATGCGTGAACACTGATCAAGAACATTTACGAGTTTGGACTGGCCAGGTGATATAGCAAAACGGGAGATTTTCCGGCCGGAGCCCGCATTTCTGAACTGTGGACGCCGCCTCCAAAACGACCAAGCCACCGCTGTGCCACGTGGGAGTGGCTTTAAACGGTAACTTCGGCTGATTCACGAATCACGAGTCTGGCCCGATCCCTCCCAGCGATAGGGCCGGGGTCGCGGGTCGTGAGGGTATCGCTGAGGAAAAGTGTCCGATCAGCACGAGATACCTGCTGATCGGGTCAGGAGAGAATGGGCTAACAGGCCACTGAACGGGTTCTCTAAGCAATGCCCACGTGACAAATAACCGCAGCATGATAATGTTAAATTGGTCAGCTCACGCTGATTGAGATACAATGAAGGGGCATTTAAGCAATAGCATCGATTATCTGCTAATAAGTTGTGCATACTTTGATCGACTGGCTGTTCATTGCAGCTTTGTTTTGACTGTTAATTGCCAACGGGTAAGAGAAAATATAAAGACGTGATGTTAAAATGGCTTCTGTGGAAGCAATGCCGGTTTAATTAGGTATAGACATGAAAACAAATGTCGAAAGGACCAGGCACACTGAAATTTAAGACATGCTAACATAAACTGGTAATATTTGTCACTACATATTATTATATTATGTAATTTATTATTGTTTATTATTTTATTATTATACTTTGCCAGCTTTTGCCTCTTGCTTTATTTCATGTCTTTTCTATTTTGTTTCTTTCAATTTTTGTTTTCTACTCATACTGGTTGTATTGGCGGAGACCGGAGGCAGGCCTATTTCCAAGAATTTCCCCACACTCCCCACATTTTGAATGACATGTACTTCTGTGTATGCCATCAATGCAGGGACCTTGGCCTACCTTACCTAGTTCTAATCAATACTTCAATCATGACTTTGATCGCCAGTCATGGTTATGATTTGCTCCCGGTTTCTGCGTCTCATTTCGTAACAGCCGGCGGTGACCTCCGTCGACAGGCATCAAAGATATCACTGAGCGTCTGACAGTCAATGCAAAGAGGATGACAAGAACATCTTATTCGGCATAATGTGAAATACCAACACTTGTAATCCAGGTAAAAGAAGCACTCGGAGTATCTGGCGGCCATGTTTACGCCGATGTACTCGGTTAGGAAGGCAAGGTAAAGATAAAAATGCCGCTTCGCTGGGAAAGAACGAATAAATTTTCTAAAATTTCCAATCGTGTAACGTACGTTTCTTGCTTTTATTATAATCCAATGCGTCGCCTTTCACATAGCTTATAAGCTATATGATTTTCAGTGAGAAAAGTTCAGCTATTTGTAAGCTACAGCCCCATGGACCCATGCACTCCTGAAGTGTTTGCATCTGAACGTCTGGGCAGCTGTGTGATTGGTCTCCGTGATTGCTTGTCACCAACTCCAGACGCGCGAGGTGAGTGATTTATCGGAGATGCTGAGTTACAGCTCGACTACCGATGAATGTCAAACCACACGACCCCATACTGAACTAACGAGCCAGGGTTCGTCATGAACCACAAACCGGACACTAACCAGACAGAGACTTAGCTACCAGTGTAAATGAATGCATTGATTGCGTGCTTTCTGACAAGAATGCACGTTCCTGTTCTTACCGTTATCTGAGAATGCCGTCATGTCCACATGCGCTAATAATTTATGGATGTAATGTAATGTAATGTAATGTAATGTATTTAATGAGACAATCCTCGATGTACTCGGGGCTATTACAGTCTCAGTTATGTAGTACAAAGCATGCAACATATGTACACAGCATTTCCTGCCCTATCATAAACCACGCCTAGGTTGCTGTAAAAAATAGCACATCTTATACACACACGAGACGAATCATCCACATTTAACAACAATCGCTCGATAGTCATTGCTCTAATAGTTCGGACATCGGACCACGTCACTCTTGCCCAGTCACGGTGCGACTGTCACATAGGTGGCTTACTAAGTGACTCCGGAAAGCTGGCGTCGAGCGTAACGTCAGATCATGTGGCAGCGCATTATACTGGCGAGGTGCACGACAGCAGAAACGCCTTCGTCCCATCTCTGTATGTGACATTGGTACGTACAATGTGTTGTTTTGTCTAGTATTGCGGTCACGGGTCTCTGAGCTTTTAATGAGATTTTCAGCCAGTGCTTCAGGTTCGCCTGCGCGACGTACTCTATGAACCATGCACATAGTGTGGTACTGGACGAGCTCATTAGCTTTCAACCAACCCAAACGTTGAAGCAGATCGGACACATGGTCAAATTTCTTGCGACGGAAAATGACTTTGGCGGCATAATTGATCACTTTCTGAATCCGAAGAAGATTTTTGTTTGTGGTATTACCATAAACGGATAAACAGTAGCGGATATGAGATAAAACTAAGGCATCCACTAGAATAGAAATGGTAGATGGCGGTAAATGGCCCCTCAGTTGCGACAATCCGGTAAGAATTCCGAAACAACGGTGCACAACAACAGAAACATGAGTGTCCCAGCTAAGGGCACAGTCAAAATGAACTCCAAGATTCCTCGCTTCGGAAACAGGAGTCAAATTACAATTATTAAATTTTACAGCATAGCTGGAAATGTTTCGCAAATTCTGTGGGCTACCTAACAACATTAATTGAGTTTTCTCAGAATTAAGTTTGAGCCCGTTAGCTCGGAACCATGACCCCAGAGATTCCAACACTTGTTCCAGCCTGCTAACAACAGGATTGAATTCCGCCTTTTTACCACTGACTAAAATTTGTGTGTCATCTGCATACTGCACGATCATCGCATCATCAGCAAATAGACTGAGATCGTTTGCAAAAATGCAGTAAAGCAATGGACCTAGCGCTGAGCCCTGAAATACACCGATATTATTAGGGAGCGGCTTGGAGCATCGGAGGTTTCCTAAGCTGTCAGAAAATGTGACACTTTGCATATGGCCCATAAGGTAGCTTGAAAACCATGAGACATCAATCCCATGTAGCTGTAATTTTGTTAGGAGTTTGGAGTGGTCAATTACGTCGAAGCATTTACTTAGATCAAGCATGCACAGGAATGAAAGCTCTCCTCGATCATTAGCGGAGAGGATATAATCAGAGACAGTTAGCAGAGCTGTTTCGGTTGAATGGCGTGGACGAAAACCATGTTGAGTAGAGGAAAGAAGATGATTACTAGAAACATAACTGTAAACTTGCTGGTGAACGGCTCGTTCTACGATTTTGGCGATCACGGGAACTACCGAAATCGGTCTATAACTGGATGGTTTAGAGGATTCTCCTGACTTATGTAATGATCATGTGCCATTACGCTGTCAATTGCACTTCAGCTTTGGCAACCGAGAAAAACTAAAAAATGTACGCCTCCCAATTGTCTAGATCTATAATTACATTGAATATAATTTTTTTTTTTGTAGCTAAGATAATTTGCCGAGGCAGTGTACTTTATTACGCGCCCTTGTGCAAGGAATCAAATCCGCACGACAGACTACAAACATTTAAGAACACTTGTAGTGGTACTGTAATGCAACTTTGAGCAAATGATCAAATCACAATGCCTTGCTTGGTTTTGTCGCTGTTGCAGTTATGCTAAATCAATGACTGTAGGATGAACTTTGTCTCTGGATAAGGTGAATTTAAGAATACAATTAATTTACTTCCAGGTAACATTCAGACCATCATTCATCTGGCTGTAGGGTCCCTGCGCCTGCGTGGATCTGACGTCATCAATGGGTGGGGTATCAACGTTCACCATCTCATTAACATTAATGAGCTGTGTGGCACTCAGATGGTTTCATTGTGCCTATTGATAACAAACATCTGACCGGTAACCGGGGCAAGACTGGACACTGGCACCGGTAAAAACCCAACCACCAGACCTTGAAATAGATACAACTCGGAGCAGGGCAAAAACAAACCGTTACACATTCGGTAATTCGTCATTACGTGTTCATGTTTTCAATTAGTGGCGGCGAGCTGGGTGCGAACTGCCGGGACCTCACGCGACGGCGCCTGGAACTCCGCTGGGTGACGCACACCCCATAAACACTATGGTGAGAGCTCAGCGCGCCTCGGCGCCGGAGCAGGACGGCCTGGCAATCGGGTAGCCTATAGCCGGCGAGACTGCCAGCCATTTCCGGAGTTCAGGGGCAGTGGACGTGAGGCGGGACGGCCGGACTGCAGTCTGCTTCAGCTCTCCCGGTCTGCCTTTAACGCTCACTGCCTAACGGGCCATGTCGCTGAATGTTGTTCAGCTTTACTATGTTTCATCCCATTTATGTAAGCCTAACCCAGCGTTATGCAAGGTAGCTTATCTGGCCCGACTTATGCGCTGCGATTCAGACCAAGGTCCTCGCATCCCATCCCACCCTCACTCTCCGTTAGCCAGGTGATCGGCGGCACGGCAGCGCCGCCGCGCCGTGCCGCCGATCACCTGGGATACTTTGCTGTGAGAACATGCAGTCTCCGGCTCCGCCCTTCCAAGCGGGGCGGTGGGAGGGTCAGATGTGATCGAGACCCTTCCTGGCGGGGATTCGTCAAAGGGCGGAGCTTAACCACTGGGCTAGGTCCTACCGAACATCAAATTTTCCGAATTTTATTTTTTCTCGGACATTTACTTCAGCAGAAGCTGTAATGCATTAGGCAAGTGGCATAGAAGTGCAAAAGGATATTGTGGAGTGTGGACTACGTAAAATAAAGAGAATACCTAGTTCACTTTCCCGAAAATAGTTTCTTTTGCAATGAGTTTCTTATTGTTTATGCTCAAAATGATCAGAAATGAAAAGAAAACCTTTTTATAAAAAAAAAAAATCCTTTTTTATATAGGAAGAGCTATATTCTATATAAAAATGTTTGACGCGGAAGCTAAGCACGCGCTGACCAATCGTATTGTGTAGTTAAACTCCAGGAGAACAGGTGGGCGCGTTGTTTGTTAATGTTTTTACGCCTGAAATCTGTTAATCAGACTCACCACGGGCTTATGTAATGTTTCTGCAAATCACCCTGACTGCTGGCATGGATGCTGAGGTGATTGAAACATTGCTTGCCTGGAACAATCCATGTCAAAACTACGCTAATTGGACTAGAGGATAAAAATGAACAGGGTATACATATTTTTTGAAAAGCCACAACAACCGAGAAACAAGTAACCACATCAGATTTACGGATGGCGTTATTAAAAACGGTGACAGCTCAAAAATTATCCGAAGCCTGTCGGACCGCATGACAGCACTGTAAATACTCCCTAAGTCTGCCTTTTATCTCGGATAGCCATCAGATAGCCATCGCCCGCGCCGACTTCGGTGATAATTGGGACGGATCTGGGCGAAAGGAAAAGACTTACCGCAGTACAGGCACAGTGCACCACAACCACCTCTCGGAGAGTGTGCTACCTGAAAAGCCGCTGTTTTTACCGGCTCATATGGAGCGCCTGAGGTCCAAGACTCCTGTCTGTATCTCCCTATGATAGGTGTTCTGTGGAGTGGACAGCTGTCCACTATCCACTGTATCCAGGATATGATTGGTACGATGGTGGTCACTTTCTCTCACAGTATGTGGAGTGTTGAGGGTGAGTATGATGATGTATAAGAGTAGGATGAGGAGTATGCTGGTCCTTCCCCTCGCTCTCTCATCCGTTGTACATAATAAGATGCATGTCCACTGTCCAGGGACACCCCCTCCTTACCTGTCACAGTATGCGTGTCGAGAGTGGCCGCGCGCGCTGCCCTGATCCTCTCGGCCCAGTAGTGCCCGTGGCTCCAGGCGCGGCTCACTGGTGCTCCACAGAGGAGCACCAGCACCAGTCCCGGCACCAGCCAGCAGGCCGGAGATGCTCCCCGGCCGGTCACCATCGTTCAGAGTACCGCCAAGAGTACGGGCAGCGGGCGCTGGGCTGTGGACGAAAGGGGAGGGTCAATTATTTGCCCGGGGTTCGGTGGACGGTTCGGGCAGCGGACGCTGTGCTGTGGACGAGAGGACGAGAGAGTCAGTCGTCTTGCCAGAGATCGGCCAGTTAGAAGAACGGGGAGCCGAAATGGCTTATATTTCATAGCTAGTATTTTCTACAAAATAGGGATGCTTAAAAACTGCGTCTCGCTCTGCCTTTGAGATGAGGCTTCTGCTAAGTTGTTTATTTTGACCGTGAACGATGCATGATACCGCTAGCCAGCGATGTGTTTGTCACACACTTCACTGCGACTTAGTGACCCGATACGCCGTACTTCGTCAGCTCTTCTATACGTATCATACTGAGAATCGATCGCTTATTCGATGCATTGTCGTCATTGCTCCTGTGAGTCACCTCAGATGATCGCTACCGGCACACTGCGCGTTACCAGTAGCCCCTCTCAGACCGCGCGGCGCGCTCCGAAATTAACCTGCGCCGTTGGGAATGCAACCATCCGCCTTAATGAGCACATACCTACCGCGCGATCACTCTGTATTCCTCAGAGCGGTGTCGTAAGATCTCTCAGAGACTGCGAATACTCGCATCACGGCCGCTGCCTGGATCTCACACAAATCTCACACAAATCTCAGTAAAGCACGCATAACAGTCGGCCGCCTTATCCTCATTGAGTAACGTGCCACCCGCTGGATTATGTGATGAAAGCGCAGCGTGAGCCCAAGAGTTACCGGCCAATATTCTGCTGCAGGAAACGCAACAGCTCGCAATATTTTGATAAATATTTCTGCAATTTTACTTATACTTTCTTTCGATGTACCTAACAAATATGATTTAGGTGTTTGACAGTTTATGACAAGCAAGCGAGTTAATTGTTCTTCGCTGCAGTAGGAACTAATAATACCCAGCTTCTGGAGACTGAGGTCAACGATTTCCTCCGCTGCCGACTAATTTCCAGACAAATACCCGCTTGGTCGGGATCCGGTATCTATACGCGGGCCGCCGGCAGGGAAGGCAGACACAAGTGTGCATTAGGGCCGCCCGATAAGCCACTCGTCGTGTGCCAGCGGTTTGGCACCGGGCCACTTCGTGATGACATGTTTTGCTCTCTGCAGCAATGCTTCACCTTCACGGCAACAGTGCAGCCTCAGATTCCATAAATACGCCGAGGCAAGTTAATATTCACAGAATGATTGTGTTTGCGTACATTCCGCGTTATACCTGTTCCTCCGGGTTGCTCTATGCGGTGCGTAAATCTACATTCACAAAATAGTTGTTTGCCTGTATTCTGTGTTGCTCTTGCTCCTGGGGCTCGCTCTGCGCGGTATGTGAGCGTACATTCACAAAGTGATTGTGTTTGCTAGCATCCTGAGTTGTTTCTCGGGCTCGCTCTGCTCGGTGTGTGGACCTGCAGGACGGCCAGCCCATCTGCCGCCCGAGGCAGCCGCGGGGGAGGAGGTCAGCCCCCGGAGAGCGAGACACTCCGACCGGTGGAACCGGTCCCGTCGAGTCGGCCGCCACAGGCCGCCGTCGAAATGGCTAATCCGTCGCCCGGCGACGCTAATCCCCGTCGGTGGGGGGGGGGAGGGGGGGGGGTGCCTCGGGGGCACGACGGACCCGCCGACGTTGTGGCGAGGTGAGATGGATCCGGGACGCTGCGGCGCACCGCACTGCCTTCTCAGAACGGCGGCCTCAGGCCGGTGGAGGGAGATGAGGAGGGATACTTAGCGGACCGGGAACGGCGACTGTGACGGACGAGCAGAGTTTGCATAGGAAAAGGTTTAGCACTTATAAATGTGGTTGATCTTTGAGGAAGGGATAGATAAAATACTCCTGAATGTGTTTGATAGATTATGCCTGATGTCTAAATACGATAAGCGATTAATCAAATCACATATCGACGTGATTCACATATAACGGCTCGGATCCGGAACTCACAAATGAATGTGGTCGCGGAGCCTCAACGGTCAGCTATGACGTAAGATGAGGAACTCTCCATAAATAAAAAACCAAAGCGACTTAGCGACAGTAGTAGGCATTAGGCGAGCCACCGCATGAGCACAAAGTGAGCCGTCGAGCTGATCCTGATGCGAAGCGACGGCCCGCGATGCACGGGAGCTGTAGCCACATCAAAGAGGCAGAGATACAGTCATGACAAAGGACTCGCCTGTCACGGAGTGGTGTGCTTTGAACTGGAATAACATCAGGGAGGTGCTGGTTGCAGGCCTGTGACATGCATGAGAGATTGATAGACTGAATCGCGAATCCTGACTGATATGTTTGCTGACCGGTTTGTGATTCGGTTGCAACTAATGCGTTCGTGGTAAAAGTAGAATAAAAACTGGAAGTTGATAAATTTAAACAGCTGCTTACCAAATTTCTATGAAAATAACATTCAATAAACATTGTAATGTAGCGCCCACTCGGGTTTGAGAGTGCAATCGTCGATGTGGAAACTGGCCTTTATCAGCATCTGCGCGCTGTTGCCGGCGACTGGACGTCTCCATTGGATTACTGATCTCGCGATGTTCTGCAGATGGCTGCCGACCAGCTTATACCATCTGTGGAATGCCGATAGAGGCCTGCTGTGTGCTCCGTTGGCCCTGGGGTAGTCCTGCCGGTATAGCTGGTCGGAGCGCCATCGTGTGTGGGATTCGGTGCGCTCGTTCCTCCATGTTGCCCGGTTACTTGAATCACGTTTCCATGTTTCGACACACCGCGATTATGATATTGCGTTCACTAGCAGATGAATTTGTGCGATTGATTTACAAGGGTTGTAGCTACTAACAGTCTCGCGTCTATTTCATATTTAGCGATCTATAAATCACAGCATTAGATTTGACATGCCTAAAAGCTAAGGACTTTTCAAGCAGTTTTTTTGTTACCCAATCATCATCAAGCAGAAGTGATAGCTCTGCAGAGCTATCAAGCTATTTACGGTTCAGGGATAACCAGTTTCCAAAAACAAAATATCTGACGTCAATCATAATGACTGAAGTTGAATGAAGAGCAAAGCACTTTGAAAAATAAATCTTCGAATAATGAATCGGAAGCCCTTCTTGAACCTTATCCGCAGAGGACGTTACCCTGACGTGTGCCTAGCCTCTGTAGGCTCAATATGCGACTTCATTGACATGATAATGCCTCTGTGGCGCAACACAGGTTCTATCCGCATACCCAACGATAGTGGGATGTTTACGGAATAAATTTTACGATTTGAGTAGTGTAGGCAGATATTCCTCGTCGTCGTACATTCGAAGTTGAGACGTTCAAACACCAAATCACAGCAGAGCCAAGCAGGGAGGTCCGACATATCCGATAAAAATGCATCCCTTTGTGATCAACACTGCAACCACATGCCGAAACGATAGGTACTGAAAACAACAATTCACACTGCATTGAAATGCTCAGGTATGTAGCTTACACCAAAGTTGCAACGCCTGTGTGGGACGCGTGCGTGAGCACCACACGAGCCCGCTGCTGTGTACACATGTAAACACCTCAGACTTCACGTGATCTTTGCATCGACTACCCGGTATGCGGCGCAAAACACGCTGAATAACAGTCTGATGAGTAGGCAGATATTCCAGGAAGACAGGGATAGTATCCAAATTTAATGCCGACAGCCTGAACTCCAGCTTTGGCTGCTACCTGCTTCTGTCGGTCCGGTACAGTACATGGCGCGATTGAGAGAGTGGAAGTGGTCACATCAGTTTAAACCAAAACCGCCTCTGTGACTCACATTAAGGGGAAGCGGGGGAGCACCGCCACCTTAAGCATTTCTGCTCACCGAGCTGATATGCGTAGTAAAAACGAAGCTCTTTTGCATTCGAAGTTGCATTCTTGTGAAAGTAGGAATGTTTTCCTACATGTTGGCATAGTTTCCAGCGCTCCATTATAAAATTTCGCTACTTTACAGACGTCGAAAACAAGTCCTGCATTTTTCGTCCTCCAAAAAATGTGCGGGTAGCACCGCCACTGATGGCGATGTTATCCACAGATCGGCCTTACGGTGACAGCCACCCTTGGAAGCGTTACTGCTGTCTGAAATAGTAACTCAAACTCATATAAGACACACAAGAGTTGGTTGTTAGTTTGTCACAGATCAGACTGTTTGTTGCGGACAATATGCATACAAAGCATGACAAATTCACGTTTATTTCGAAACATCCAGTGAAGTCAAACGTGAGGTTAAAAAACAGACGACGTTTGCGGCCTAACTAAAGCTCTTCTCCGAGCTGAGTGAATCATCATTGCGGCTTTATCCATTTTGCCAACCCTTGGGGTAGCACCGCCGAGCATGGCGGTGTTACCCCACTCACAGTCATGGACCGACAACGCCCCGACAGCAAAACAAGCCGGGACGCTTGTTTCACAGAGCTGCGCCAGAAATACCCACCATGGTTCGATCGCACTGTCAGGGATCTCCTACGGGAGAAGGAACGGGCCCACAGGCGTAAGAAGGCGGACCCCTGCGCTGCGAATGTAGAGCAGCATGCTAGAGCCAGAGCTGAGTTTAAATGTCAGGCTGATGCTGGATATAGAGCGTATTTGTTGGGCCTCGTCCGTGATTTTAAGGATAATCCCAAGCGATATTGGACTTTTATCAAGTCCCTGAAGTCAAATAACCACGTATCTCCTGTCTTAGAGTATGCTGGTAGGCTGGTGACAGATGCGTCTGCTAGAGCTAACTGTTTCAACCAGTGCTTCTCAGAGAAGTTCAGCGCGCCCTACGTCGGCGACTTACCAGCCGCCCCTGTTCTCGACGCCCCAGGCCTGTCCACGTTCACCGTACCCTGTGGTCGAGTGGCACAGCTCCTGCGTGAGCTCAGCCCTCACAAGGCCTGCGGCATTCATGAGTGTGCTGAGGAGATTGCGATCCCTCTCGACATCATATGTCGATTGTCAGTGCGGTCCGGAGTGTTCCCATCGTCATGGAAGCGGGCCAACATCATTCCCGTCTTCAAAAAGGGCTCTAAA